CACAAATGTCCAATATGGGAGAATGATTAGGCAATGATTAAGGGTTGGTATTTGACAAGGAACACAGCTGTTCAGCTTTTTTTCTCAGACTCCTTTGGCTCGTCAAGCCCTGATCCTCACACAGCCTGGGGTGCTTGTGTTAAATTAAACAACAACAATCGCTAAGGCACATTTTAGCTCTGTGGAACCAGAATGGAGTCAGCCCAATGTTTTCTTCACATTTAAAAAACTGAGAATATGCTCCACCTGCCCTATTTTAGCTCTGCATAAGTCTCCCCTCTTTAGCACATTTGCTGTTTATGGTTACAACTCCCTCACAGTTTTCTCATCATTTCCAAAATGTTTTCTTCCCTGAAGTTGTGCATAAGCTTATTGCTTGCAGGATGCTCGCCAGGACTCCGAGAGGCACCGGGGCCTAGCTGCCTCCCGCAGAAGTGTGACAGAGGCCAAATCACAACTTTGCTAACTGCGAAGCCTTGCCATGAGATGACCCATAATTATAAGAAATACATCAAATAGTGATTATTTTTATTGATGTCAAGCTGCCTTTTTACAATGAGCTGTAGTACAAGAGCACATACTCTCTCCTGGCCAATGACCAGCTCTGCAACCTGCTTACAAACTGGATTCAAAGAATAGAATTGGCTCTTGCATTTTTGTCCAAAGAGCCCCTGAGAAGCTGTTTGGAAACACTGTAGGCTGCAGGGGGCTGCTAGTTTTGATGACGTTATGAGGTAGAACAATGATCATCATTATTGAACAATAATGGTATCAGAACAATACACCAAATGCTTCAGAGAGTTAAAATGTTCCCTGCCTAATGGCCACATGTTCCATATAATTATTTTCTTTGTGTGCTTATTGCAATTTTTAAATTGTCTTTCATTATAAATTGTGTCTCGAATATAGCTGATCTCCTTTCCCTACATATTCTGTGACTGCCAGGGAGTGATACATGTGCTCAGTGTGGTATATGTCTATCTTGGATGTTATCATTTTTCTTTTTCTTTCTTTCTTTTTGTAGCTTTTTACTTCTATCTCTATGATTTTGGGCCAAGTGTGGTGGTGCACACCTGTAATCCCAGAATTTGAGAGGCTGAGCCAGGAGGGTAGAGATTTCAAGGCCAGCCTGGGCTGCATAGTGAGACCCTGTCTCAAACAACCAAAAAATAATACATATATATATATATATATATTTTTTTCTAACCAGCTGGGTGTGGTGATACACTTGTAGTCACATCTATCCAGAAGACTGAGGCATAAGGATCACTCGAGAGTAAGAATTTGAGGCAAGCTTGGGTAAAAAAACAAAACCCCCATCTCAAAATGAAAAACAAGACTTTTTCTTTTTTTAGCAGTACTAGGGATTCCACCCGAGGCCTTTGCTCTGAGCTACATCCTCAGCCCTTTTTAATTTTATTTTATTATTTTTTCTTATTTTGAGGCAGGGTGTGGCTAACTCACTAAGTTGTTCATGCTAGGCTCAATCTCCTGCCTCAGCTCCCAGAGTGCTTGGTTTACAGGCATGTGCCACCACACTCAGCTAAAAAGTAAGACTTTAAAAAGCAACTTTTCTACCAAAACTCTTTTAGAAGGTAGCTGAGAGTAGAAAGAGGTCTGACTCACAAGGGGTAGACTGCAGTCTTCTGCCACTACTAATAAGTTGTGTAAGTGGGTCCAAGTTAGTTCCTCTCTGATGCTCCAGTTACCTGTCTGTGAAACAGGTGAGATTTACATAGGCTAAAAGAGGCAGCAGACTTGGAGTTAGGCTGCCTGGGTTTGCGCACATCCTGAGTCCAGCTCTGGGACCTTGGACAAACTACTTCTCTCTGTGCTTATGTTAACCAACTGGCCTGCTTTGCATAGGACTGAGGGATTGCCTAGAACACAGGACTTGTAGTTTGAAAGCTGGGAAAATCTCAGAAAGAATTGGTCACCCTTTCTCTGCCTCAGTTTCCCAATCTGTAAAAGAGAGATGATAACTCAGCCATCCCCACGGGGCTGTCAGGGGAATTGACTGATTAGTGTGAAAACACACCTAGCACAACCTCTGGCACGGAGTAAATCCTCAATGCATGGCAGCTGTTATTGTTAGGATTGTCTTCGAAGTAGCGCCTTGATTCCATCCCCCTCTGTTATTATTTCACCATCTCCCTTTCTCCTCTCTTCTATTTAATAGCATAAAGACTTAAATATGAGCATATTTAGTATTAAACTCGACATGCTGTGAAATCCTTTGTTTCACTTACCACTACAGACAATACCAATGATGCCTTCAAAATGTTTTTAAGCAATTTAATATAGCTCTCATTGGAATGTCACAATTTTCAAAGTTATAGTTCAATCTCCCCTTAGTGCAATGCAATAAAAAGGTTACTCTAACGTCGTTTCCTTTATATAAATAACATCAAAATGCTTCAACCTAAAAGCTGAAGAAGAAAGGAGAAGGGTAGAGAGAAACACAGAAGGGCGGGATTTCCTGGGTTTGAGAAAACATTCCTGGGTGAGATATTCTTTTCATTCTATGAAGTGGGAGCCGATCTTGAGAGATGGGTGCTTGGAAAGCGGGGGGGACTGTTGTTGAAGAGGTGCCTGGAAATGAAGGAAGGAAGGAAGGAAACATGAACAAGACCCCTGCTGAGAGGAAGCCTGAACTCAACTTACACCAGATGGAAGTGGGACCTCAAATGAGTCTTCAAATAGCCCTCTCCTCTTTCCCTCCTATCCTGCAATGACTAATACCTAAGTAGGCCCTATTTTTGAAGGAAATGAAGGAAAATGGGTGAAAGAAAGACAGGCATTTTCTCTGATGGTCAGTCCCCTTGCAGTTGGCAGAGCAAAAAGCCCTCTCTGGATATTTTTGTGGGGGTGAAGGTGGGGTCAGAATTTCAATCAACCATCTTTGTTTACAGCTTACTGTGTGGGGTACATATCACCTTACCCCAAAAGGCATTAGGAAGAAAGGGAGGGAGGGAGGGAGGGCAGCCTTGGAATTGATTCTACAGTGTGGAAGACTGTCAACAGCATTTTCTATTTGTACTATTTAAAAGATAGTGTTGGTGGTCTCCTGGTTTCTCAGAAAAGGGAAATTTTACACCTGTTAGATTATAGTCTCGGAACTATTTATTAGAGAGAGCGTACAGTGACAGATAACGCCAACTCTCTATTATCCATGAAAAGAAGTAAGTAAAAAACACTCCTAGGTCTAAATTTCACTTGAACTGAGGGTTTCAATCTCCTTTCTCTGCAGCCCTTCTGGGATTCTGAGTAAAAATACATTGGTTTTAATTTCTTTTTATTCCCTTACAAGCCTTAAACCGGGGGAGTAACGAACAATGAAATAGCCCCAACAGCAATTAAGTAATGGGAGAATTGAGGAAAGAAAATGAGGCCTAAAAATAAGGGATAGCGGGGGGAGAAAGAAAGATCCGTCAGTACCCACCCCACGAAAAGGAAAACTCCCTTCCATTTGCCCAAATCAAAGCGCCTTCTGCACTCCCACGGCCGCGACGCAATTCACCCTTTCAGTAAAGATTTCCTAAGCTGCTCCCGGGTGCCCGGAACTGTGCTAAGACCCTCAAAGTCTGAATGGAGGAAAAGAATGTGGTGTTGATTGGAGGTATATCAACATCTTTAGCTCTGCATAAATCTCCGCTACACTAAATTTCAGGAGATTGTGAGAAATCTGCGATTTCTCACTCAAAAACAAAATCTCAGATCTTCTCATTTAGCCTCCTAAGAAAAACTGCTGTGGCTCACTTTCTGTGCATTTGCATCCGAGTAGATTATCTGCTCTCCTCCTTCCTTCTTTGTCGCCTCCACCCCCCACTCCCACCCCTGCACCTGCTACCACGGTCATTTTGGTCATTTTTGAGGGGCAGGCGGAATGGGCGCCCCAGGAACCTTTCTGACCTGGGCCCGCTCTGGGTTGGGTGCCTCTAGCCTACCCGAAGGCCGCCTCCCCGCCTGCGCCCCCTTGTGGGCGTTCTGCCCCAGCCACCCCAGTCACCCACGCCCCCCGGGTCACCCAGGGCTGGCCTTGCCTCTGCTTCCTCCTGAGACCCAGGAGACCAGACAAGGGGCATCCGAGTCCTGGCAGCCCTTCCCGCAGCGCAGCTCGGGACGGACGCCCCTAGGTGCCAGCACCCTCTCAGAGAAAGGCAAACCGAGGCCGCCTCTGGCGAGCGGTGCCCTGCGGAGGGCCCTGCCCTGGGCCGGGGTTGGGGTTTCGCCGTCGGTGCGGGCGGTTCAGCCTGGGCGGACGCAGCCCCTAGGCCCTGAGTGTTCCAGTTCTCCGCCACCGTCTCGCTCTCCTAACCTCCGCTTGGGAGCCGGCCCCCATTCCTCAAAGATGCCAGGTGTCCTGGGAAAGGATATTAGGTGGGCTGGAAAGTCGGGGCGCAGTGGGAGCCGCTGGGGGAGGGCGGAAGTGCCCCAGGTCTGGAGAAGTCGCTGGCAGTGTTAAATGCAAGCCTTTTGCGCAGTTATTTTTATTCCAGGGTCTCTCTCTCTGTCTCTCTCTGTCCCCCACTCCCCACCCCCAACCTTCTGTTGAGCTATTTGTGTTTTCTGACCGGGTAAGGGAGCTTCTCAGCAGGAAATGAGGTATCTTTATTCCAGAAACACTGTGGTACTAATGGTATCTGTTCCAGAGCCGGCTCCCTCTTAGTCACGGGATTTTTTTTTTTTCACTTGCAGGTTATTTTGTGATGAAGGGAACAGAGCTCTGTGCAACCCCGGCATCTTCCCTCCTCCCTTCCACACAATGCAACTCTTAATTAAACACGGGAACACCCACGCCTCCCTTCCCATAGGACCCTTTCCGTCTGCTCCCCCGCCCCCTCTGAAATACCAGCCTTGTATGGGCAGGGAAAGCCTCGGGTTGAACTTCCCAATTAGCAAGACAGTGCAAAATAAGGCACTTTAAAGAACTGTTATCTCTCCTATTTTCGGATTCTTCCTTCTAGGCCTTACCCAGTAAATGTTTTGTTGGCCTTAGCATGACGTTAAAAGCCTACAGGTCTGAGGACATGCGATTGCAGACTTCAGAAGTTATTTTTCTGGTTAATGAGTTGAGATTTACATAGGGCAAAAGTAATAAGTTATAGATCGATTTGAACAGGAAGTTTTTGCCTTTGTAAAAAAGCTTCATCGGTCATTTTTAACCAGAGGTTAAGAACTTCAAGGAAACACAGTCATTTCCAGGTTGTACAAATCAAAGGTAGTTGGGCAGCAATCTTACATTTATTTCTCTTTTCTGGATTTCTGGCCAGATCAAGAAGGAGCAGATGATGTAAGAGTATCGAGAGTAGAGGAACCTGGGATTTGAGGATTCCCTCATGCAGATGCTGATAGTTGGGGGGCGTTTTGCCAGGGTCTCTCCAAAAGGTACAGAGCCATCCAGTCGGAAATGGAGGGGGGGGGGCTTAGAAAGGCGGAGAAATCGGAGATAGAAAGTAGAGAATCCTAAAATCAGAAGGTGGGGACCCTAAAATCTGAACGCGAGGAACTTACAATCAGAAGGTGGAGTAATCAAGAGTCACAAGGTGGGGAGCAATCACAGAGCCACGGTGTCGGGCTACCCCAGAGATGATTTCGAATAAAAGAAATCTCAGAGTAGCTGTGTTCAGACGACCTCTAAGGAGTGAGGGATCTGAAAGTGCAGGCCGCCAGGCCTCCAGGAACACCCTGGAGACTGCAGACTCAGATTTCTGCCTGGTTTCGCCTCCCCAGAGCTAGCCTTGGTCCCACCCCCAATTATTTCACTTCTAGGTCCAGTGTTTCCTGAGGTTCGCCCGCAAGAATCCACCCGGTAATTATCTCCCCTCTCGCGCTCATGGGGGGACATTAACCACGAACGCGCTGGAGAAGAAAGGTACAGATGGGTCTTTTATTGAACACTTGGAAATGTTTCCAAGGCTTTTGTTTTCTTCCCCCATTCATTCCTGCCGGATCACTGGGATCTGCCAACTTCAGTCCCTAAAGGATGCGGCGGGGAGGGCCCGGTCCACCCGGAGCCCCCGCTAGGGGGCGCGCTCTGGCCGTGGCACAAAGCCGAGCTCGAAGGGGGTGTTGCTGGGAGGGGGGGGGGGTTGGACGCGGAGAGCCGGGGTCCGAGGGGCCTCCGGACTGAAACTAGCATTGGGTCCCTTGTCGCTCCTTCCTGGAGTTCTAACCTGTGCCCACCCACCCTCGCCCCGTCCGGGGTCGCCAGGAGCAGCAACTACAAAGTAAAGGCTGCCCCTAGGTCCAACCGTCAGGTACCAGAGCAACGAAAGCAGAGGGCGGTGATTACAGGGTGCCGAGAAGTTTCCCTCTGAGGTCTGGAGACCTGGGTGCGGAGGCCGGTGGCTACAGGAGGATTCAGGGCAACAGCTCTCGGAACCCAACCACTAGCTTCTCGCCCATTAGAGGGAACGCACGCCCGGTATTCTGAGGGCAGACTGGAGGCTGCGACCATCTCGCCCAGCTTTACGCTTGGAAGAAAGCTTGAAAAAACCCGAGTTGCTGCTCTGATGGCTGTTAGAAGAAGAGGTGTCTGTTTGCCTTCTAGTTCTCACTCCTCCACCCGCTCCCCCTCCTGCTGCTGGGTAACAGAAAGTGGCGAAGTTTGCAAATAAAGGGAGTTGTCCTAACACAGTAATCACATCCACACGTCCATACCTTGAGGGCTCGGCCGTGGTCCTCGGGACGCTTCCCAAAAAAGCTGCTTCCTAACAGAGCTCTCCGGGCCAGCCGAGCCCTGATGATGGAACTCACGGCTCGGCTCAGGCGGACAGCGAAGAGGGAAGCATTGGCAAACACGAGGGAATCTTCCCGGGAAATCCACCCTATCGGCCCCTTTGTACAGTACCTTTCCACAGGGTGCTCCAATGAAAATACATCAACAAACACCCCATCCGCCGATGGCAGCCTGGGGAGAACTGAAGCAGGGATAGAAAGTGGAGGGCAAACTGGGGGCAAAGAAGGCGAGGGACAAGTTCTAGCCAAGCGGATTATGTTACATTTCCTCCTATCACCAGACTTCCAGGAGGAGATGTCGCGATTTGTGCATAAATTGAATATCCTGAAGTGGATAAGACTCGGAAAGCAGCATTTGAGGAGGTTAACCTTGACTGGTTGGAGTGAAGGGAGTGTGGGGAGGCAAATATTTCTGTTTGTGCCCTCCGGCTCTTCCCAGCACCGGCTGTCAATCCCGATGCTTGTTATCCTCACAAGGCTTCAGTTTGTTTGCCTGATCTCAGCAAGGTTTTCTTCCACAAGTAGAACTATAATTGCTATAATTCTACTGTATCATTTGGATCATTGAAGTATTGTTGTTTTCTCTCCCTCTTTCTCTCCTCCTAACACTGCAATAACGCGCTCCAGTGTTAAATTAGCAGGTTGCGGAAGACCATGAATGAATGAAAGTTTGTTAAAAAAAAAAAAAGAAATTAAATAAAAAAACAGCAAAATGACTTGGCAAAGGGGATATCACATCACAGAGAATCCTTGCGTGTAATCAGGACTTATTGTCTTCCTTTCCAATGGCTTCCAAATTGGTCGCCAGACTCCAATGAAGTTTATTTCTATTGTTTAAATATATGTTTTGAAGAGGTTGAGCATAATTTAAGGGGCCCTGAGCCATCCGGTGTGACTGGAAGCCCATTACAGCTTTATTTGTGTGTATATTGCACAATAAATTAAAACATGTCAAATGAAAAGTGTTTAAGGTTAACTCTCCTCCAAGCATTTCCCCCCCTGGATAATGACATCTCACTGCCACCCCCTTATCCTGCATTTCTTGCAAATATAATTTTGAGACTACAATGTAGAATTAGCTCTCTCACCACAGAAAAGAAAGGGGTTTCTTCTTCACCTCTTCTAAGTAATTATTATTTCCACTTCTGGGGACAAGCTCCCCCCCCCTTTTTTTTTACTATAAACAACAGTTTTAAACATTCTTGACCCTCACTTCCAGCCATGATTGTCATTTTTATTTTAGTGATTCATTTTAAAAGCAAATGAACCAAACGCCACTGTTTTCCAACCAGTCCAGGAAAAGCAAACCAACAGTTACAGATGTAAAGAGGAGACCCAGGAGTTATAAACAATAAAGTATAAATATGAGTAATATCACTAAAATGAAGTCATTTCTTATTAGAAAGTAAGTGGAAAAGTGAAGTGAAATGTCATTTCACTGGCAGAGTAAATATTAAATTGATCTAAACTACAAATACTTTTACACAAAGTCCTGTATCCAATTCTTAAAAGTCTGTCTATTCAGCGCACCAATCACATTCTTCCTAGACAGTCGAGGTACCATCTTATTTCTAAAATGACATATAGGGTAACACACATACATCTTACACCCATATTCTGAGTAGATATTGTGGAGACAGACAGCAGACTCTGCTCATCCGGTACCTTAGAAAAGTTTTCTGCAATTTAAAAAAAATTGAATCTCTGGGGAACACAAGAGTCAGTTATAGATTTTGAAGTTGGGTATTGAATTGTGACAAATCTCAGGGCTGCTGGGTAGGGCTGGGTCAGACCCTTCTCCTGTAGTTGAATGGGTGTGCCTTTCCAACAGCATCCTCACTTGGGAAGGTGGATTAGGAAATACCAAAAATAAATAACATAAAATAAGCAGAACAAATAGAACTAGTATTTTCAGACAGGTCTCCCAAAGGAACACTTCATAGTCCACTCATAGAATTGGATTTAATTCCAGGGATCATTAAGTCAGAATCTGAAATTCTATGTTAACCTCCCTTTTACAGTGGATGATTAAATTTAGAACACACCCCAGCAGAAAGTCCGACTTCTTTTAAAAGAAGAACAGCTGCAGAAGGGGGAGGAGGGGAATGGAGGCAAAAAGTCTTCCACGGAGAGGGTTGAAACCCCGTTGCGCTCTCGGAAATGATTTGTGCATTTGTGTCTCTTTTTGTTCAACACGATCTTTCTTGGACTCATTTTCAACCCACTCCTTGCGTGTGCGGAGACGACTCTGAAGTCACAGAGCCACCTGGCAGCCGGGTCTTGTGGATTTCCGACACGGGGCCAGCCAGGGAGGGAAAAGTGCCTCTGTCTTCCCCAGCGACCCGCCGCAGGGACTCAGGCGAGGGTCCGCGGCTGGAGGCTCGGTGGAAACCGATGAGTCTTTGTGCCTCTCGGCTGCCTGCGAAGAGACCCGCGCGGCAGAAAGGGTTTGCGGGGCCGGAAGAGGATGGGGGAGGGAATCAGCGCGCGTAGTGTTAGTTTAAAGCCCAATAGGACAGTATAAAAAGTCCCACCGGACTACGGGTGAGGACGAAAAGAAAAAAAAAATGCAGGAAAGGCAAGAGTGGATCCTAGGCGCCTTGGAACAGAAGGGGGTTTAAAAGAAAATCAAATGTCCAGGTAGCTCAGGTTTTCCTCTACTCCTCCCCCTCTCCGCTCCCATCATCCAAGTGTACGAAAACCGGTGAGAATCCAGCTAGAATCGAGAGAGAGAGAGAGAGAGAGAGAGAGAGAGAGAGAGAGAGAGAGAGA